GTCACATTCCTCAGTCAGTTTTGTAACTTTAATAGTCACAGACTTCAGAAGAATAGAGGGTGAGGCCTGAGGTGAAAATACATGATTAATATTAAAACACATATGTGTCCTGCAAGAAAGATCAAAGTTAGTCAATCATGTCTGTTGACATGGTACAGAAGAGAAAATGTCCCGGGAGACACTGGAAGAATACTGTTAGCATAAAGAATGGCATCAGATTTGGGAGTAAGTTTAAAATCAATGAACAGAAGATCAAGCTCTTTTAATTTTCTGTTTTGTAATCATTCCCAGTGGTGAACCAGCCACAGAAATTCAGCAAAAGCTTTTTGTCAGTGTGAACAGCTGTATAGCTATCAACAGTTTCTAGAAACTTTGGCATGATGTCAAAGGAAATAGGACCTACCTGTCACTCTGGTGGTAAATTACCTGATACATACTTATTGTTTGGGCAACATGCTTTGTAGAGATGTTAACTGGAAAAACTTTGAGTTATAGAAATATTATTATCACAAAATACTATTTTAACAGTTTATGATGTTGACTTTTGGCAATTAATTATGGACCAGATGACTTTTTTCTTCCTGCCTATGGTAATATTCCATCTTACTCTATCAAACACAATAAAGGTTTGTTTGCTGTCACAATATGTCACAATATAAAACTAATTGAAAAGCCTGCTGTCAGTTGTACCTAGAGGTAGGAAATTAGTTGGTATAGAGATTGCTCATAAAAGCACTGTAGCAAGAAGATAAAATCTGATAGCCTGAAAATAGCTAAGTACACACATGACTTAATATTAACAGGTGAAAATTATCTTCAGAGTCTACTGATAATATAAAATACTTTTAGTAAATAAGATTATTACAAATATTATTTTGAAAATTACAATCAGTACATTATTTCAATCTGCCTAGCATGTCATTAATGAGATTCTTCTGCCCACTTGCCTATAAATGGGTGCTATGTAAAGTTCTCATTAATGCAGTCACCTCCATTTTCCCTGCCTAGATCTGGAGAATCTATGGGAGAAATCAGCTGTAGATAAGTGAATTCCTTTGTTTGATTTTTCCCAAATCTTTGGTGTCTTGAAATCAGACAAATAAAGAATCAAACTCCAGTGCCATCCCTTAGTTTAATTTTCAGTTTCTTCTTCTGTAAAACAATAGTAAGAACAAAGGAACTATTATTTAGGAATTTTGTGGGAACAAGCTTGGGATTTCATAGAAGGCACCCAGCCGTGCGTGGTACAAGGTCAGTAAACGTTCTCCATGGCCTGCTTTCTCCCTTCTTCTCTTTCTCCTCCTCCTTCTATGTTTCCTCTTCCTCCTTCCCCTCTACTTTATTCCTTCTTATCTTCCTGCTTCTGCTCTTCTTGCCTTTTTATTTCTCTCTATTGTTATTGGCAGTAGTCATACACAGGCTTTATGTCTAGTTCTGCCTTCAAGAGCTCCTATGACACAAGAGAAAGACCTGAAGGACATGCTGTGGGAAATCTGATAGCACCAATTTTTGGCCCTGGTTTCTCTCAAGCTTTTCTGTCCCACAGGGTGGTGTTGGGGAATGTGAGAGGGATAAATCCTGGGGCTTTTGCAGGAGAAAGGGTGAATCCCCATCAGATGAAAAACTCATCTGATGAAAATCTGTAGCAGGCTGCCCTCTATAGGTCTGTGGAAATATAATATCTGGGTTGGAGATTATGTCCAAGTAGTGGTTTTTTAGGGATGGCTCAGAAAGCTAAAATACACTTCCTGAAATGCATAAACAGAGCATCTTATGAACATGCCATCTCTATTTTAATGACTGAAGAATCAAAATACAGACAATCCAGTGCTGGAGATTTAGCTCAGTGGTTTTGCCACCTGCTGCGCAAGCTCAGGGACCTGAGTTCGATCCCCAGTACAAAAAAAAAAAAAAACCAAGAAATACAGACAATCCTCTAAAGCTCCACCCTGGATTGTTCATGAAAAGGTTCAGAGTTGGTAGCATCAGGATGATTTTCATCAGTGAACTTGTTTTCTGAAAGGAGTTTAAGGAGAATTACGAGAATGGCTAATATTTGGTCTGCTATCAGGGCTCTGAACTGAACAGACTCGTTGGTGTATCACTTTGCTTTTCAGCCTCTATATTATTACAAATTTCCATAACTATTATTTACTGAGTTTCTACTAAGTTCTAGGGGCAGTGCTAGGTCCTATAAACATAAAGATTCCAAATACAGTTTAAGATATTTAAATACAAATGCTCTAGAAATGCTAAGGCATTTAGATATAGATATAAGTGCCCATGATATAATATCAAGGATAGACATGAAGTTTACCACACAGTGAACCAGGCCTGGAGCTGAAGCAGCCCAGTCTCATGCATAGCTTCATGTCTTTTACAGGTCTAGAACAGGCATGGTTTCATGGTCCACACTTCCTCACTCTCCAGTAATCACAATGGTTATTTGTGCTAAACTGCATTGTAGCATAATCCTTAAGGAAGTAGATAACCTACTATCCTTTGTAGTAAAAAAAAGTACATAGATCACACAAAATTGGCTTATATCGAGGATCTAGTCCCTTCCTTGTTTTCCATATTCCTCTCAATTCCATTAGAAGTAATCATACCTTTTGAAATTGAGCCACTGTAACTCAATTCAGTAAAGATGATGTATAAGCTAGAATGGAACTAGTCACGTTTACAAATGGGAGAAATAAAATGGCAGCACAAAAGGTACAAAATTTGGTAGGAAGTTAGGCCTGCCTTGAATTCCTGGATTTCCAACTTGTGATGAGACCAAATTCTTTAACAGCTTTAGGACCAGACTCTTTAATGAAACTGAGCACACTCTTTCCACACTCTCAGGGTTGGTGTAAAGACTAAATGTGACAATAAAATATATGGCATCCAGCACATCATATGTACTCCAAAAGTTTTGGACAATGCAATATCAGAGGCTTGAAAGCATCCTTTATATCAAGACCTTTCTTGAACCAGCCCAAAAGGTGCCCATGGAAACATCTTTTTGTGTATTGAAGACTTTATGGTTTGTTTACATGATTTAATGGCAAATATCTCTGGGCATGATTATATTAATTTTGCTGTCAAAAACTTGGGCTCTTTGCCCATCCTTCATCTTGTGTCCTGAAAAGAAGGGCTCTCAAATGAAAAGAAGTGGAAGAGTATCTGAAGAAAAGGAGAGGTGGAAAGATGTCAGACAAAAGGCTTGCTAGCTCTTCTGCAAGAAATTTAGGGGTGGGTAGTAAAGGGGAAGGGCCCTCATTTCAGGGAATTCTCCTGAATCCTCTGAGGCATTACTGGAACAGAACCAAGAAATAACCAACCATATACATGACTAGTTTACAAAGATGTTTATATACAGTTCATTGCTGAGGAAAAAGTTGTTTTTAAGTCAGCAGGAAAAAAGCTAAGCCCAAATGATTCAGGCAAACAGAACTTATGTTCACAAAAATAATGACATTTTCAATGAACTGTTAACAGAATTGAACTTGAGTATTATTTCTTGAACCAATCTATAGCATCTAATACTTTCTTTAGAAGTTACATTCACTTAGTAAAATTTAATTTCACTTGTGCTTTTTGTTTGTTTGGTTGTTTTTGCTATGACTGCTTTTAATAGTAGCTATTTAGGTCACAAATGGCCCCTTGTGGAGTATCAGTCTTTCTTTGGTGATTCCAATCCAGGAGAATGGGACAAAAGATTACAGTGGTTTCTTGCCAGAATACAAGTGACCTAGTTAGTTTTGGCCATGGTGATGCTGTGTAACAAATCACCCCAAAACTCGGTAGCTCAATATGATGGCAACTTGTGCCCATGCACCTGTGCAGTGGGCCAGAATGGCACTGCCACATTCCACACATCTTCATGTCCAGTCCCTTCTAGGTGTGTGTCATCCTCCTTGGACAGGTGAGCTGGTAGAGATGTGTTCTTTTCATGGTGATGGCACAGAAGATATTCATAGACACAGGAGTCCTGCAAGGACTAGGTTTGGAAATGACACTTTTTTTCTTTTGAGACAGGGTCTTGGTATGTAGTTCAGGCTGGCCTTGCCTTGAGCTCACTGTTTAGCTCACGCTGGCCTCTAACTCATGACAGACCTCCTGCCTCAGCCTCCTGAGTGCTGGGATTGCAAGCATGTACTACCATGCCCAGTTCAACATATTTTTATTCTTGTTTGTGTTCTTTTGGCCAAAACAAGTAAAACAGCAAAATTTAAATTCCATAGGCAGAGACTATGTTCCATCACCAATGAAACAAGACAAATGTGTGGATATTAGGAGGGTGAAGAATTGTGATTTCTTGTTGCAGAAAAACAGATACAAATAAATAAGAAAGTGCACTTCCAGCTATTCTTTGTGTTGTATCAAAGGCACTGGCTCCAATATGTAAAAGGTCATTTTTGGTAGTTTTACAAGTAGGAATTTAAAAACTAACGGAATACTATGGGAATACTAATGGGATCATATGACCTCTATGGCAAGGTTTTTCTAATAGTGATTGGTAACATTATTGATGTATAAATCCCGCTAGAGAAAATATAAGATAAAATAAATTTAAAAAGAGCAGTGACTTAGAGTAGGGATTTTTTTTTTTTTTTACTATTTTTGCTATTGTTGTAGATGCACACCTATATACGTACTGAGATAGGATATAACATGTTTTTCTCCCTATATGCTATGGTTTAAAAGAAGTTTGAAATCTATTGCTTTAAAGTAGTCTTTAAAAACATTTTTTTCTTTGCAGTATTGGAGATTAAACCTAGACCCTCAAGCATAGTAGGCAATTACTCTACTAAAATTTTTCGTTTTTATTGATACATGGTAATTGCACATATTTGTAGTACAATATTATCTAATTTATAAAATGTTATTAGGTTTAGGTGCATTCTGATTTTTTAAAACATTCATTTTTCCAGGCGTGGTGGCGCATGCGTATAATCCCAGCACATGGGAGGCTGGGGCAGGAGGATTGCAGCGAGTTTGAGACCAGCCTGGATGACGTAGTGAGTTCCAAGGCCAGCCTGAACTACATAGACCTTGTCTCAAAAAATAAAAACGTTCATTTGGTGGGTGCGTGCCATCTCCTTTGAAAGTGAATTGCTTTTTAAGTGCTCCTTATTTCCTTTGTATGGATGTGTAGTAGAGGAGCATTTCCTTTAAAATCAATCAATGATAACATCAGGTTTAATGGACATGTGTTTTCATTTATACACCAGTAACACTCATGGCTGTAATGATGGGTGAACCACCCTTGGATTTATTTTGACAATAACGGTAATATTTACCTTCTCTATTTAGCTTGCTCATAGCTAATTTCCAGATGATGGTTTAGAATAAAAGCACCTTCTGGTTATATTTTTTGATAACGTACTGTTAGATTGCTTCAGAAACATTTATTATCAGGTTATCTTGTTCAGATTTTAATGTTTGTGTTACTCTGTTTACGTTAACCATGGCCCGTCGGAGCTGCGGTGGGCCCTCGCCAGGAGCAGGTGTGCAGGAGACAGATGCAGACGGCCTGGGCCACAGGCGGTGTCTCGGATGTGGCTCTCCCGCCCTGGCTGTGCCTGCTGTCTCTCCGGGAAGGTAGGTCTGAGCGCGTCACTGCCAAGCAGCCCGAAGACAAACCCGAAGGCCTGGGTAGCTTCTCTTTACGGAAGGTCGCTAAAGACCGTGAAACGTAGTGGTCTGGTGCTCACCGGTGAATTAGAATTTAGGATTATTTAGTGCAAAGATAAGCAAGGCTTCTGTAATTTACCTGCTTTAGTAAGAGAAACTTTAAAAAAGTAATTTTTTAAATAACTTGCTTCACATATAATTTTTTAAAAGGGGAAACATTTATGCGATCTGAAGAGAAACCAGAGTATGATATAAATATATTTTTAAAATGTTTCTCATTAAAAATTCATCTATTCAAAAACCAGGATATTTTTAAAATTTGAAATATATTTTTCCTTATCCCCTTTTTTTGGTAAGCAAAGAAGAAAATTCCGTCTACGTTTGTTGGCTAGTTTTAACTTTAATTAGGTGGCTTCATAAATATTTGTAGAAGTTTTGAAATTAAAATATATTTTATTGTTACTATATCCTAATCCACAGAACTAAAGTCTTATTTGTATAAATATTGTCTGGTGAAAAAAGCGCTGGTATATTTTCAAAAGACATCATGTTTGTGTCTGTGTGTGAGCATGCTATATATAGCATCAGTTAACTTGAGACACTTTTAATTACCTAAATAATTAATTACATCTGATTCATATTACCTCATACATTTAAAAATAGCAGAAACTCTTTTATGGATAGTCTATTTACCATAAGTTACTGGTGATTATTTTTCATTTTTACTTGTTGGCCTATGTTGACTGTAAGCAAACAAATGGATTTTTCCCCATTTCCTGTTTCTTTGGAATAAGAATTGTTTGTTTCTAATAATATTTTACCTCAAGAAACATGATTTAAACATTTGGAAATTCTGTTCTCCTGTCTTTTGTCTCTTTCCCTCTTTAAAAATAAGTAGTAGATGAGCAGCAAAAATATTTCTGGGATAAAATTGTTATGAAGTCTGTTTCCAATTCTGTTTGCAAGTTGGTGTAGTAAAACAAAAACAGGAAATGGGTGGGTGCAGTTCAGAAATTTAGCAAGCTAGCTTTACGATGAGAGTAAAATTGATAAATCAGTCATGCAAAGAATTATATAAGCAAAATAAACACAAATAAAATAAATGTATTAGTAATTGGTCACCAGTGGTTTTATAAGAAATAGAACTTTATTCATAGAAAATACATTTAATTTATTAAATAATTATTTTTGTGGTTGTGAGAAACATGAAATAGGTAGAAAAGAATAAAGAAAAACTGACCTAGTATTACACTACCCGGGAAAAGCTGTTGTAAAAATTTAATTTAGTTTCCTTTTTTTTGTTGTTATTCATCTGTAAATATTTTTGTTTCAATCTCACCATCTCTTAGTGAACAATATCAAGAACTTAGAGTACATCACAGAATCACTGTTAGTGCTGCATATAGGGTTGGTGAATTGCCATCCTATTTCCTTCTGAATTTCTAAACTCGATCTCTGGCCTCTGGCTTCCAGAATGACAGATGAGTAGTTCTGTAGATTCTCTTTTTCTCTGCTGAGGTGCTATTGATCAAAGATCAAATTTAGGGCCTTGCACAATCCAGTCAAGCTCTCTCTGGAGCCGCCCCCGAAGCACACTTCTTTTTAACCAGTGTTTTTCTGTTAGTACCGGTAATCGAACCCAGGGCCTTGTGCTTGCCAGGCAGGCACTGTGCCGCTGAGCTACAACCCTGGCCTTTTTAATCAGTTCATTCTATCTATCTGGATACTTATGAGAATATGTCCTTTATCTTTGGAATTCAGAACCAGGCTAGATGTATGTGCATTTGCTTTTATTGGCCCCAGGGTACACAGCCAAGAATAAACTCCTTAGTTTGGCCTCAGCTTGCACGGGTCCTTGCCTTTGTGATAATGGAAATCAAAATGAAGACAAGAGCAACAATGGGGAAGGAAAGCTGAAGCGAGCACAGCTCTGATGGACACGACCAGGCTGGCCTGTTAACAAGGAAAGCGGCCAGTTTTATGGTGTCGAGAGGTGAGATAGGGCGGGCTTGGTCATGGTCTCAGTGCTGGTCTTGAAATCTCTGGAAAGTCCTTGTAGCTTGAGGGTCAGTTCAGTTTCCGTGAAATGATCACTCTTGCTGAGAGGGGCGGTCTCAGTTCCTAGGAGGCTCCGCTGGAATCCAAGGTGACTGCAGGATCAGGGCAGTGGCTGGAGTCTGCTAGGTGCCCATGTCTGGGGTGAGAGCAGACATTGAATGTCCTGCGAATTTCTAATCTGGTGTCCTCAGCCTTGAGGGAGAATGAGTTAGGTGAATTTAGTGCTGAAAAACCTCATACTACCAGTTTTCAGACAGACATTCCCTACACAATTAACCTGCATCCCTGTAGAGCTGAGCAGGGATCTGATCCAAAGTTTTGAGGGAATAAACAAGATGGATACAAAATGAAGGCAGAGACCCCAGGCTTTGCCCTGTTTTTATTAGCTACTGGCTATCTGTTGGTCCAAGTAAAGAGTCACTGTTTTTTCAGCAAAAACAGTTTGTTAGTCCCTGACTGTTTCAGGAGAAAACATAAATCATGCTTTTAATGAGAAACAACTTAAGTGTTTGGGAGTTTGTTGATTGTCTTTTTGTGTTACTTCTAACAATTTTCTTTTTCATTTAGTTTATTCCTTGGATGTTATGGTGAATATGTTCTGGATTTAATATATATATTTTTTGAGACAGAATCTCACTGTGTTGTTCAGGCTGTCTTGAACTCACTATGTAGCCTAGCCCGGCCTTGAACTCGTGATGATCCTCCTGCCTCAGCTTCCCAAGTGCTGGGATTCTAGGCATGCACCACCACAACCAGCTATTAATGTACCTGGTTTTTGAGGTCACTAAAGTCATTGAGGATGGTAGCAAAGAAAAATACTCTGCTTTCATAAACTAGCAGGTCCCGAGGGAAGTGCCCAGGAGTGCGCCTGCCTCTTGTCCACATGGTGGTCTGCAGGCCAGATTAATTTGTTTCTTCCTTTAATCTTTTACTCCTGTCTCCTGCTCGGTACATGTTCTAGATATTTTCCAGATCGTTTATTCGTCCCTCCCCTCCCCTCTCCTCCTTCCCCTTCCTCTCCCCTTCTTTCCTCTCTTCTGTCTCCAGTTTCCTCTCTCCTCTCCCTTTCACATCACTCCCTTTCCTCTTCCTCCTTCCCCCCTTGCCCCATATACTCCTGTAGTAATAGGCCCAGAATGACAGCGTCATACAGAAACAAAAGGGGCATTTTCAAACTAATGGTTTCTCGTGGAGCTTTGGCTTCTTCAGTGAGGCATGAGAAAAGGAGGATTAGTAGAAGGTGACATCTCTGGCTTTTTTTTTTTTACAAACATTT